TCAATAGCAACAGTCTTATCTGAGAATCCCTGAAACGATATTAACTCAAGACAGTATTTATACTTCTCTTAGTGCGTCTTATATAAAACTTTTCTTTCTCTAAGGGAGATACTGTATGGTACCATTATAATATCTTCTATAGAGTCTCCGGTGTTTTGTATAGTGAGAACTGGACTAGAAGGTGTTAATGAAGCTGAAATATGTGCTGGGATCCCTTCCATAGTAAGCTGTTTTCGAGCGACTGTGCGGTCTGTCAGTGAACAACGCAGCCTTGCTTACAAGCGAGTCACTTACACGCCAAGTACTGTACATTTGTTGAAAATAGAAAACTCGGACTCTTCAGAGCACATTAGTGTTGCAGCTGTAACGGATCAGATTGTGGGGCGAGAGGTTCTTTTTCTCATTAAATATGTTCAAATCCGGCGATAAGTAAAATAACGTAGTCATTTTGTGTCGAGCAGGACCTACGTTTTTGGTTTATTCTTTTTTATTTTTATTTCAAATTTTTATTGTTGCTTTCTACATTTGTCCTGTAGCGATATTAATAACAGTCACCACAGGTGTTTCTTTATTCTCACAGTCACAGCGTTCTTTACTCGATATATATACACAGTATGATGTGCTGAATATAATTTGAGAATGATGGAGACGTTATTTTCTCTTTTGACTCACAATGCGGTCTTTATAGAAGAATCCGCATGCAACCAGTGTGTTTCGAAACTGGTACATTATTTCAGTTAGTCAGCTTTGGACACTGTCAAACAATTCATTTCAAAGGCTTGTTTTGCATATGAAAACAAAGAGACAGTGCTCTCACACTTAAAAGGAATTAGTTATCAGCCAGATGCTTAAATTATCCCATTAAATGAAGGCTCTATATTTGGAAAACAAGAAGAGAAAAAGGCTGTTGTGACCCTTTGAGGCAACAACCTGCAAATCACTGGCTCTCAACCAAAAAAATCTTCATTTCAGAAACTAAAATAAATCCTGATTTCTTGAGTGTGAATAGTTAGAATGTGTAGATGAAAGAAAGAACTCACAGGTGGGTCCTAAGTAAGATGAAATATAGTTTAAAATTCTGAAAAGCTTTTACATACTTCCATTAAATATTTAACTTATGAATATTTAAATATTCAAAATAAGGACTATTCAGTGTAATGACAAAACAACAGAAGTATAATATATTTTATATATGATTTAATAATATCAAGCAACAAAAGCATGCAGTGCTAAGTACTTTAAAAAGCTACATGTTTGCAGGCGGAGGTGGCAGGGATACTTAGTATTATTTGGTCAGTTTTTAGTCAGTTTATTTAGTCACCACATCTCCCAATTTAGGGTCAAAGGGGAGTCAGAGCCCATCCCGGTAAGCAACAGGTGCAAGCAGGTTACACCCTAAATGGGATGTCAGTCCATTCTAGGACAGACACAAAGACACCAACAGGTACACACTCAAACCTCAGTCCAATTTTTCAGAAAGCCAATTAGCCTACAGTACCAGAAACTAGAGCGCTCGGAGTAATCCCACACAAACACAAGGGGAACATACAAACTCCACACAGATAGCACCCCAGGTCCGGAATTGAACTGAATGCTGACCGCTGTACTGTACCTCCGCGCATGAAAAACAAATTGTTTTGTTAACTTGTTTACGGTCAGAACATCCCTCTGAGATGCAGATGTTGTGGGCTCAGTGTGAAGCTCAGACACTTTACGATATTCTAAAGCATTAATAAGCATTGTAAGACTCGGGGGTGTTTAAGTGCCTCAGATATGTTAGTTGTGTTTTGTCCGAGGTGACTAATGTCTGCTTTCAGTATATGTGGGTTATAATCTCTGGAAGTCCATAAACACTGTAATTCATTGGCTTGGAACAGAGTAGCCCTCTAGTTTGTGGTTCCTGAATATCCCAGTACAGTATACTGTATTTACAGTAATACATGGAAAAAACACTCATTTAAATTAATGGCTTCATTCTTTGGCAACTGATCAAAAGGCCACTTAATGGCTAGAAAATGAAGTATTTTGGGTAAATGAGTCTACTTTGATAATCACCTTTTGACTTTCTTTCCAAATGAAACTACTAAGCAGATTTCTTTTACTGTATATTATATACTGTATGTGTGTATCTAGGTGTACGCATACATTTTGCATCCTGTAACTCAACTAAGGTTATTAGTTATATATCGATAAACTAAGTTTAGTTGTCATTGTCACTGGCTCTAGGCTTATTGAAAACTGATTCTTCTCCCTCTTCCAAGTGATAGAATAGTTGACTGTTCTAGGGAATTAATTAGCAGAGGTTCCAATGCAGTCTGCTATTGTGTATAGCCATCCTCGTCAGCAGATGTGTCTGTCATTTTATTTTATTCTGTTATTTTACACATTTAAGGACAAAATTCTGCTCAGAATCATGCCTAGCCACTTTTTTGTTTGTCTAGCCACAGCTTTTGCATTCTGTATCCGGCATCTGAGACACCTAGGTCATGCTAATAGTATCTCTGCTGTCTCATTTTTTTCCCCAAATATTTTGTGCTGAAATGTAAAGTGTACTTCAGGAAAATCAGACTTGAACACACAGACTTTATAAAGGCTTTATAAAACAAATGTTGTTTGCTTTATAACGAAAAATGTTAAAACCAAAATCAGGCCACAATTGTGACCATGATGAAACAGGTGTGATATTCATTAGGGTGAGCTGTATTTGACATTTAATCTTACAATGCGGTGAGCAATCCCAAACCTTTTCCCTGTTTGGCAGCTTGACATCTTTCATCAATGCAGTTTCACTGTTTAGCATCTACACACTCCAATATCAAGCCAGTCAGCTGTGGGAGTGATTCTTAGCATTAAACACAAAAATGCACCCCTTTAAATCTGCAGGCAGAAGGGGTTGTCCCTGGCAGATTGAAACAGTGATGGAGATAGCAGAGAGAGGTTAAAAGGAATAGCTCAACTCAATTTCAGTGGCAGATGGGAACAAAGCATCAGAGAGCTGGGGTCAGATATATTAAAGGCTTTGCACTAAAATTTAATTCTAACCTTTCTTTTTTTGGGACCAGGGGGGTGGGGGGCTTGGATTAAACCTGTTGCTGTTAAAAACCAGCAACAAGCAGGATTTCCCTCGGCATACTCACACATACCACTGTTGTGCAGCACGCAGAAAAATGTTTCTTCCCAGAGAATTTCTAAAACCTTCTCCATTGCATTGCATTTCAAGGTAACCTATAATGCTCCTGCTGTATATATATATAATATATATATGAACAAGTAATAGGTTTATTCCATGCTGAAAAAAAAAGAAAGAGAACACAACGTTTCGGCCGTGGAGCCTTCTTCAGGTGTTCTCTTTCTTCTCTTTTCAGCATGGAATAAACCTTTACTTGTTCCTTTGCAGCCTACGCATGCTGACGCAGCTACCCACCTGAACTAATATATATATATGCATGCAAACTTGCTTGCCAGTGTTGTTTAATATATTCACAAAACTGGCTTCACAAATCCTTAATTCTATTTCAAAATCTGTTTAGACTTGTCCCGACGTGGACTGACTGGAGCATTTTTTTGGGGGGAAAATAGTGCATTTCTAAAAATGTCTTCCAGTTAAGGAATATATTTTCATAAAAATCCTTAGGTTGGACCTCCACATTTACCTAAAATGTTAGGAATTTGACCGATTTTACTGCTTTTCACAGATCTGGCACTTAAATAATGAGCAACAGTAATGACAAAATTGTGACCTAATGTTCCAATTTATGACAAAGCATATTCAACTCTTTTACAGGTCGTTTTTCAGGTAATATCTTTTTTTTAAGATCTTGGCAGTTTTCCCCCGAATTCTAACAATAATGCAGTTGTTGAGTGAGAAATCCTATTTAGAGAAAGTAAATAGCTCTGTCATTAATTTAACTAATCCTGCTAAGCACCAATGGAGATTAATTAACAGCGCAGGTATGATTGTTGTTGACGTAATGGTCAGGGCCTGTGGCTACAGGAGGCCTCTGCTGGAGATTCCCAGGGGCACTAGGACCAGAACTGGCTTTTCTTAGAGTGCAAGACCCCAGCTCAGAGTAATAGCTCTCACCTTTCTCTTCTCTCCCTTTGTCATCGATTTTGTTCTGGACTTCCGAGCTCTGCAGTTTATTGGGAGTACTGTAAAGAAAAGAATGCAACAAGCACAAAGGCACAGAGATGAGTCGGTCTTTAATGGGCATAAACCTGTAGATATACAAGCAATATATTGGTTTTGATTTACAGATTGCAGGACTAATAATTGGTTATTGCATCCAATGGGAGCCTGCCTATTATACATGAACAGGCATCACAATTTAATTTTCATTGGAGTCCCCACATACAGTATATATACAAGTTGTTAACAATGCTAGATTAAGCATTATTTGCGTTTGAAAATATGTAAGAAAATATTAGCTCTGTGACCAAAGACGTAGATTGTCAACCTGCCTTCAGCTAACCTGAAAAAAAATCACAATTGCCTGAATAACCGCAGTTTCTCCCACTGACACACAAGTGCTGCTTTAATATCAATTGAGTCTTAATCTAAATGGTTAATTTAATTACAACCATTGTCCATCTGACACACAACAGTCTGCACCGCATAGTAAGGCAGTGAAACGCTTTCTGTGTCTGTAGGAGGGGAAGAGGGGCTCTATCTGTGAAATACCACATCGGTGTAAATTGTGTGTTAGCGGTTTGGGGTTCAGAAGCGAGCAGGGAGAGATGGAGAGGCGCAGGAGTTTCCAAAGGCTGTCTGGATACAGGACAACATAAACTGCGCTACTTCATTGGGAGACAATGGAAGACAAGATCCCTTAATGTAGCTTCATCCACGTGCCTCCATTGTCTGCCTTCTGCCTTTTTTTTTCTTTCCCAGTGCTTTCAGTGAGGGGGGCTGGCTTGGCCGTATTCTCTCTCGCTCCCCCTCTGTGTCTGTGTTGTGTGGATGCACAGACGGTTCAGTAGTAATTTGATGTGTGTCCCAGGGGACATTTGATGGATTAAAGCTAAGCAGCTCCATTTCTAGGCACCACCTGATCTCAGTGCTTGTGCCCCATATAAAGGCAGCTTGATTGCTGATCTCAGCTAGTCTGACAGTCTCTCTCTCCTCTCTCTCTTTCTCTCTCTCCCTCTCTCTCTTTCTCCCCATCCCTCTTGCCTGCTGCATCACAGGAGCTGTCCAGTGCTGAACTAGATCTATATTTTTTTAACCGAGGGAGTCACAGGACAAAGAATTGGCATCAACTTTTCTTTTTTTGTCTCCCTTGAATTTTGGGGGGTGTTTTTTTTTTTAAGTTGCACGAGGATTACCACTGGCTGCTTGCTTTGTTTGTTTGTTTTTTTCTTTTCTTTCTTTTTTTTTGTTTTTCCTCCTGTGTTGTTGTTGCTGTTGGGGTTTTTTTTTTCCTGGGGGTTTGCCTGTCTCCTGTTGAAACATGCCACGGTCCTTCCTGGTGAAGAAAATAAAGCTCGATGATTTCTCTTCCTCGGCTGTCGCTGCTTCCCACCACCACCAACACCATCATCTAGACGACACTTACACTTTCGCACGCTCTATCACGGACTCCGTGGCCAGCTTGGGGGTCCGGATTAGTGAAAATGGTGAGTGTGGCTTGAAATCCTTTTAAAGAGACTCTCTCTCGAGGTCTGGTTGGAATCTGCATGCAGGCTTTGACCTCACTCTGCGTTGCTGTTGTCTCCCTTGATCGCTTGTGCATGTCCGTGCAGTTATTTGTTCTGGGCGACGAGTCCATGTGCAGATTACACAGCTGCTTTTATCACAAAAAACGGCATGTGTTAATTATGCAGTTAAAACTCGAAACCGCTTCCGAAGACATTTGTTTTTATACAGTGTGGGGGCTGGTGTCACAGCATCCTAGATGATTCCTGCCCTTGTTCCGAGACTTTTTTTTTTTAATGTTGCGTTTGGTGATGCTCCTACACAATTCAGGTCAGATAGAAACATTCGCCTTGCACAAATGCTACACGGCAGTGCTTGGATTCAGAAAGTCTTTTAGTTTGTTTTGTTTTTTTTTTGCCTGTGCATCTTTGGCTTTTTCCTCGAGTCTTTCCATGGGAAATTCCAGCACTTGGAGGTTTTGGTGTGTGTGTGTGTGTTTAAGTGGGGGTATTGCATGATGGACTGGGATGTTAAATTTGTCCTTAGCTGTTACTGCCCTTGAGTACTGTAGCTATTCTCCCTCACACACATCCTCCCCCCCCATGCCCCCCGTTCTCTCTGTCCTTCCGGGTGTTTGAAATGCACTGGGGGTAGAATTTCATCAATACAAGCCCTTTGAGTCATACGAGACCTGGGCTTGCGTTGATACGCAGCACAACTGAGGATGAAGGAGAGGCAAAAAAAAAAAAATCATAAAAAAATGCTTATGGCAGCACCACAGGGGTCATGTGACGCTGCACGTACAGTAAACACGAGGAAATGGCACATAGCTTCACACAGGATTACAGCGGGGGAAGAGAGCAACAATCCCAATGTGCCGCAGTTTTGTGACAATTTTAGAGAAACGGGACAAGACAGATTAAAAAAAAATGCTTGTATCCCCATTTCATCCAGGCTGTTCGATTTAAGAAACAATTTTCAGAGGGACCGTGCTCTGTTGTGCAATTGTCCTTCAAACCTTAGAGACTCTCCCCTGTTCAACCATTTTGTCCACAGATTTGGGATGCCAGCTGTCTGTTTGCTCTTTGTTTTGTTTTTTTAGCATAAGCCAAAATCCAGACATTGCAATACAGCGCAGCCTTGAAAATCCTGAAGATAACCTGTTATACAACCTCACTAAAGCAGCGTCACAATTTATTCTCAACAAATGACTGCTGTAGATTGATAGAGCTAGCACAAATGTAGTTTTGTTACTTAATTTTTTGTGTGATGGGGGGGGCTGTTAGGGGATTTATTTGCATGCCGATTTAATCTCTGGTATGGCACTTAAAACAACTAGCAACTGAAAGAACAAACAGCCAATCAAAAAAGTGCATCTCATCAGATTCAGTCTTTTGTGTTCTGTAAGAGACCAATGGTGGAAGATAACAGAAATCCCCAAAGCAAGCTGTTTTTACAAGGGCAGAACATCGCACTGAAGTTAAAGAGATGCTTGATGCATTTGCTGCCTAGGCAAAAACAGTCCAATATAGTAAAATATTTATGGAACTTGATGTCAAAAATGGACTGCAAAAAAGATATACTGTAAAGATCAGTTTGCATGCCACAGATAATTGTAGGATTTTTGGATGTTAGCCTTTCTCCTTTTCTATTGTTCTGTGTAAGCCACCTTAAGCATGTGAGGCTGTTTGCAGATAAAACATGACAGACCATTTTCTCAAATTTCTGTTTTTGTGTAATAAACGCTATCCAAAACATCTAGTATCTATTAAGGTCAAATTGGGGATATCCAGTATTAAAATGAGCTCAGTGGATCTTCTATGTTAATAAAATAATGCGCAGAAAGTGCTTTTGTTTTTTTACAAAACACGTGCAAGGAGGAGTAACCCGAGAGCTTGAAGAAGGACAGAAAATGTGACGGCAGTTTAGGATGTGTTCTTTGGAGAGATCAAGGCTGAGTTCCATCTATTGCTCTGGGAAGGAGAGCAGCACATCAGCGTTATTGCTGAATAAGTCAAAATTCTGAGCCGAGACTAAACCTTTATTGCCAGTGAAAAGTCTCAGCGATAATAAATGAGGAAGTTTAATCAAAATGAAGAGCTTTCTTATTTTACATAAAAAGAACAGCATTTAATATCGCAGCATGAGCTTAAGGGACAGCAACAATAGACAGCAACAATAGGTTCTTTTGTCTGACCTTGTAGGGTATTGATTGACACTTGTTACTCCAACACACATTAAGTGAACACTTGAAATGGAATAAGACTAAAGAAAGAAGCTGGAATTGTGTACAAGAGAAGAACAAACATTCTGAAATAAACTGTATACTGTATATAGTTAAATTCTTCAGTGCAGAAGATGAGATCTGTATTCTCTATAATGAATTTGGACATTTTCGGAATTCAGTTTCAGTTAAACTGTAGGTCTTATTCAATCTATTTACATGTCAGGTTCTTTGTTGCTTGTGGTATTTATACCATAATTAATGATAATTAATTATAATAATTATGTTTAATAATAACCTATGCACACAAAGTATTTTAATTCATCATGTTTTGTGGTGGAATACTTTGAATGGAAGTGCATTTTAAACAAAGAGTGGAGTAACAAATATCAGATATTTCTGAAATGTTAAAGCTATTATAAATTAGAAGCAGCATGTAACAATGTATTTAGAACTTGGTGGTCCCACATTTCTGTAAGAAATAAATCAAATGTACGCAGTATTTAATCGTGGTAATTACCTTGGACGTTTGTGATGGGTGACAATTGCTTAAATGTTTAGAAACTTAAAGCACAAAAAGGGAGGGCGATGCTTTGAAACACTAATATTTTCTTTTATTTTCATAAAACTGCTAAAGACAGCAGATGGCAAAAGACATTAAGGTGGAGAGAGAAGGCTATAGTGTGTCAAACTTGCATGTAGGCCTAGGATCACAATGAGAGCAGAAGAGAATAAATACTTCAGTCATCATGTGGCCGGAAGGCGCCTTTTAACTTTCAATCTCTCTGCATCAGAGTGTGAAATAAAGTGTAAAAGCTGGGTCTGTTAGACTGGCAAAACAATAGAGAAATTGGCATGTTGAGAATGTTCTTACTTACAAGTACTTCTAACAACACAATTAATTGTCTTTCTGCGACCTGCTGGTGATGCTGTCCTTCTCAGTCAACAATATTGCAATACTGGATTGGGTCTTTCTCTTTCTCTCTCCTTTTTCCAGCTTGTTTCTTTCTTAATGTCCTTATCATGCTTGTTGATATAGAGTGATGCCAAATTTACATTTATATTCCATTCCTTCCTGACTGGCTCTCTAGTTTGCTGCCTCCTTTTCTCTCCAGTGGGGAACAGTAACACTGTTTCACAGCCCATGAGCTATTGATCAGTACAAAACTTTGAATTTCATTAAAAATCAGTCAATATTTAATTTCCACTGCTTGCTGTGCCCAGCATTTTGCAATGCCTTCTTTTCCACAGCCCCTAAAGATTTCCCAATTAACTGCACTGTATGTCATGAAATGTAATCTGTGTTTTTTGTTGTTTTTCTTTACTTAAAAATGTAAAAACTGAAATTAATTGGGGGAAATACATTTTTCAAACACAGGGGGAATATCTCTCACTATAGATATTTATAGTGGTACAGTATAAACATTTGAGAAAATGGAAATAAAGAAACAATAAATCTCATTTAGTATTGTATACCAGTTATAAACTGGTCTTTTGGTATTTATTAATTCTTGCCAAAAAAACTATACTTTATATATAATTCACTAAACTTTCTATATAATATTTATTTTATATTTTATATTTAATAAAAATGAGTGAACAGAACAATCTGGACTGAGATTTTAGGTTACAAAGTCTATATCCCACTATACTTTCAATTAATTTATTAAAATGCACTAGAGTACACTGTTTGCCATTTTGTCCACACATCAACACATACGTAATTCTTATGTGAGCACACTGACATATAGATTGTAACATCTGTAGCTTAAATGATTTTTCCCTATTTCTTAGTGTTTAGCTGGGAGCATTGCAAGACTTTAAATGTTACGTTTTTTCTTAATATGTCAAGCAAGATAACACTGGTGTTAAGGGCAATGTTTGGATTTGATTTCTGTGTAGAAAAAAAGCAGTTGCCACATTAACAAACAAATGAAAAGAGGTGTTTACTGCTATTTCAAAAAGTGAAGGTCACAGATTTCCAGCTTGATGAAATTTGCTGCGTTTAGGATAATCACACCTGTAAATCGCTGAACCGAAAGAGGAATATGGCATTAATTAATTATCTTATCTTATGCACAGCAAAAACAGAGAGCTTGATCAGTCTCGCACAGCCCTGAAGCACTTTTATGCAGTATGTTTTGCAGCCCTGGCAGTCCGCTTAGCCAAAATCAAAGAGTTTGAAAAAAGGTATAGATATAGTTCAATATGAGAAACCGGTAAGCTCCTGGCAGATGGAAAATGGATGACCTATTATCATTAAAGAAGAATTTAATGATTAATAATGAGAAGCTTTTCATGTACAACCCTTCCATCAAGTCCACTTGTATTATATTCTGGATTGTGGGTCTGAAAGCACTTTCATTTACAGCACAATCCATGCTTACAAATCCATGCCATACAAAGTTACTTAAAGGAAGCACGTTATTTGAAGCATTCTTTATTTCCAGTCATGAATTTAAAAATGTATTGCCATACTATGACAGCTTGACCTTCCTGTGGATGGCTAGTCAGTTCAACTGATTCTTTGAGACAGGCTTTATATCTGAGACACTTGCACTGGAGCAGAAGCAATGCCTCACTTACACAAAACTTTGACTTCAAGTGTAACAAACTTCAACTTCATCAGTTACGCATTGAATGACTTGGTCTGGCATCAGATCTCAATTTTCCATGAATGTTGATCTTAAGCCACCAGTGCACTCTGGCTGAAGTTACAGAATCCATACAATGACTTTTGCTAAGGACTGTATATTAACGTGTTTGGACACTTTGTCAGAAGCAAACTGTGCAAATGGTTTATTCTCTGAAGATCCCACACTATACATCTTTAGGTTCAATTGAGTTTATTTTAAAGAAGTGCTCAGTTAAGCAAAATAATATTGTCCTATCAGTCCCAAAAATTAGTTTGGTGCCCTCATTAGTGGTCCTTAATATTATTAAGGGCTTCCAGTGAAACAGTAAGCCATTAGAGGAATACTTACTCTACACTGATGTGCTTGTCCCATCTGAAAGCTATTTCTCTTCATATAATGAATTTGTTATACACATAGTCAATATTAAAATTAGAAAACTACAAACTTAAAAAAAACTCATTGAAGTTTTATTAAAAACTTGATTTGGAGAAATGCAATGCTGTATATGCAGTAGCTTTTACACCTCTTTGGACAGGGTGCTCATTGATCATTCTCACAATTCAATTCTTTAGAATATATTGCAATAAGAAGCATAGCAGGACCTAAGGTATTAACAGATATTGCATACCACTTCCATCACAGACCATCATTAGGAAGAAACAGTCTCAGTCTCAAATATGCTAATATAATAACTAAATCCAATCTTTGTAGCAATACAAAAACCAACCACATACAGTAAAAACAAGCAACAAGCATTCAATTCAACAAGCAGACACTCTATGATATATATTATTATACACCCCTTTTTGAGTAAAATGTTTTCAGGGTGCTTGACAATAAATAAATAAAGCAGGACTTGACAATAAATAAGAAAAATATGATCATGACATAATAATAACAAAATTAGAGGGCAGAAGCATTTTTATAGAAGGCATACAATAGCAAAGCTTTGTCTGCTCTGAACATGCCTGATCTTATATAGCCAGATCCTGAAACCTTACAGCCTGATCTTTTCAAGCAAGCTGACAACTAGTCAATCCTGTAATGGAAGACCTTATAAGAAAACAAGGACACAAGTGGTATTGGTGGACCAGTAGGTGGCACTCTTTCCTCCAGACCAAGCTTGCCCAAAACAGTTCTTAGTGTAATTACTTTCTTGGTATATGTCCATTAAAGATCCCATCCCTTTCAGTGAGGCATGTGGTCCCTACGATCCTAAATAAATTTCATCTGAGCTTGCACAAGGAGGGTTATCAAAAAATTCCCCCTTGGTTCAATTTGGTGAAGCAATTTCTCATTCCTCCACCTGGCTTCAGCACATCACCCGTTGGGTGGGATATTTCAGTAGCGGGTGAAATGGGCTCCTTTCTATATGTAAAACACTTTGGGATCCTTTGGGAGATGTAAATGCAGGGATTAATCGCGATAATATCTGAACGGGAATCTGCACCCTGCTACAGATAGTGCAAAGCAGATTATCACTCTGAGGATGATGCTCTCCACCTGTTTCAAATAATTTAACATGCAGAAAAGATGCTAGTTACAGAAGAATTGTGGCCTCATGCTGAGAAAATCTAATAAGCTATGGAGAAAGAAATCTATCTAATAGTACACTTAGGAGCTACCAGCGTGATCTGATAATTCGAGACATTTTGTTGTTCAGCACAGATGTAGTTTATCTAATAGAAGGAAAGTTGTTTTTTTAAAATAAGAGATGGACTGTAATCCATGACTTTTGAAGTCAGAGATGCCTACATGATTGTGTTATGGGCAAGGAGAGTAACAGGTCATAAAAATGCTCAATGACGGATGCTCAACGCGATGTCAGTGAAGAGTTGGAAAAATGTATTCTGTTTCAACGTTAGCCCCTATCTGCCTTGCTATAGAGGTAATTCTTTCTTTGCGTCCAAACCTTTGTGCTGGTGAATATCTGTCTCTCCAGTCTGCCCCAGGTTCAAAGAGGAGAACCCGCCGCGATGCCGAATGAGCTGTTTGTCTCCGCCCATTAACGGGGGCTGTCCTGTTCTTGTTCCCAACCCCACAGGCTACATCCAGGACTACATCACGCCAGCGGTGTACAAGACGGAGAAGAAGATGGGGCTCAAGCTGGCCTCGGCCGTGTCGGAGCCCCTGTACACCCAGGTGAGCAGCGGAGG